TCTACACCTCTTGAACCTAATGTCAAGCTTACACCTATGGATGGCTCTCCACTTTCTGATCCTACTCGCTATCGGCAATTGGTTGGTAGTCTAGTTTATCTTACTACGACACGCCCTAACATAGTATATCCAGTTCACATTGTTAGTCAGTTTATGGCTGCTCCTCGCTCCACTCATTATGCAGCAGTACTTGGCATTATTCGCTATGTTAAGGGAACATTATTTCATGGACTCCATTTTTCTGCCAACTCCTCCCCTGTGCTTCGCGCTTACTCTGACGCTGATTGGGCCAGTGATCCTTCTGATCGTAGATCTACCACTGGTTACTGTCTTTTCCTTGGTAATTCTCTCATCTCTTGGCGGAGTAAGAAACAAGCTATTCCATCTCGCTCTAGTACTGAAGCTGAGTATAGAGCTCTCGGGGACACCACATTAGAACTTCTTTCATTACGGTGGCTTCTTGAAGATATGGGCATTCCTCAACCTTCTTCTACTGATTTATATTGTGATAATCAAAGTGCTATGCAAATTGCTCATAATGATGTCTTTCATGAACGCACTAAACACATTGAGGTTGATTGTCACTTTATTCGCCATCATGTTGCACAAGGAACTGTTCATTTGGTTTTCATTGGCTCCGCTGATCAACCAGCAGATCTCTTTACCAAGGCTCATTTTCCTAGACGCTTTCGTACTCTTCTTTCCAAACTTAAGTTGGTTTCATCACAACCACCTTGAGTTTAAGGGGGGATGTTAAGATGTGAACATAATTATATTTAGAATTATTGCAAATATTTTATACTTCAGAATATTCTCTTTGTATACTTTATACCTTAGAATATTCTCTTTGTAAACACCTATATATAGGTCATTGTACATACAGTATAATTCAAGAAAGCAATAAACCTTTTTTCAGAAATTTCTCCTTCTTTTCAGTTTCTAACAAATGGAAGAACTATGAACTGAACAATATGAGAAATTGTGGAGTATTAATAGAGATGAAGCTGGGATGGAACAGGTGGTCCCTTAGCTGTGGAAATTAATGCATGCCTTATCACTGAATTTAATTCTCTTAATTATTGCTTCCTTACATAGACATGGGTGCGAATAATATTACTTAGATGATGCACCCTCTGTTAAAAAAATTCGAGAAGAACCCTTGTTCATTGTGAGGAATTAATCAATTCATTTAAACAGTAACTAAAGATGATACAATAATGAGGATGAAAAGATGAAGATTCTACTTAATTATCTAAAATAAAACAAGCCATAAGTAGACTTTACAACAATTCAATTAAAGTAAACCAGTTTCAATTTTGCTAAATAAATATTAATCAATTATTTTTCTAATAATAGATTATATTACATATTTTATCATATTTTATCATATTTTGTCATATTTATCTTAATTTCGGTTTACAAGAGGCTTATTTTTGGTTTTTGATTTTTGAAATATTCAACCAAAACCGAACCAAAATTATTTGGTTAATATCAAAACCAAAAACCATTGAAATCAAATCTAATTCATTTTTTGGTTTAGTTTTTGGGTAACCTGTCGGTTCGGTTTCAAATGCCCAGCCCTAGCCACAAGTTAGACTGAAAAACAGAAAAAAAAAAAAAAAAAAAAAAAAAAGATATGCTAGGTGGCCGACCGCCGACTGCCGACCCCCTAGCTGGCCGGCCTACCGCGGCGAACAGTTTTTCCTTTTTCTTTTAAGGTAAATCTGTCATTTAGTCCCTACATTTAGCAATTTAAATTCATTTTTGTTCCCTTACCTTTTTTTTAATACTAACTTAAACTAATGTT